CATTACTACATGTATGGTATTCACCTGTACTGTAGTATCAAGTCGTAATATCTACCACTCATTACTACATGTATGGTATTCACCTGTACTGTAGTTTCAAGTCGTAATATTCTTGCAATTTTTTCCTGGCATCAAATATCTGAGCCTGAAGATCTACGTTCCATTGTGTGGGCCGCAATACATGATGTCCCTCACTGCCAGTACTGTCTGGACTGGATACATCTGACTGAACGAATGAATTATCTAAAGACCGTGGAGAGAAGCTGTCCTTCGAGGTGTTTGGTGAGCTCTGGTCTGGAGGCTTTTCTGAAGATTACAAATATCTACGATTCATTCATTCGTTTGACGATGAAACAATTTTGGCTGGATTCCGAATTCCCAATATTTATTCCTTATTTTTCTGATCCGCCATTTTCCATACGTCGGTTTACTGGTCAAATACGAAGCACTCAAGCGAGGCGCCAAGGTACTTTCAAAGGATTATTCAAATTTGAACCTTGCAACCTCGACTGAATGTTTTGTGTTTGACCAGTGAACCGATGTATGGAAAATGGTGAATAGTCCTTTAAGCTTCCAGCCCTCATGTTTTTTATACTTAAATGACTGAAATAAAATTGATCAAATCTGCATTGAAATAGCCACCTTTTCCTTTCACCTCCTTTTTACCTTTCTTCAGATAGTTTTTTTCTGATTATTCAACAAGTCATTATCATTCAATATGACTCCAGCACTTACTAGCGTTTGATATCACTGCTCGTTGATTGTCTTGTTCAGTGGTTTGGCGTCGAGATTGGAATGATGAAGGCGGTAGCAATAAGGGACCATCAATCTGGATGGGTTTGTGCTTGTTATGTGTGGTGACCGGATCAACGTCTACCTGCCCTGAAACTGAATATTTTAAAAGAGTAGAAATAAATAATATTAGGAATTAAAAATAAATTAAAATTGATGGATGCAATAGAAAATAATGTAGAACAAAGGAGTGTTTTTATTTTCAAATATAACTCATCGCTGTTTAATCCGACAAAGCAGATTTTGTTTGTCGTCAAACACTTACTTCGCCGAGTACATCGTGCCAGCACCTCGCTACCATGACCATAGCTAGTTGACTTTAATCAATAGTATTCCGTTGGTTTCCTTCGTAATGTCAGTTTAAAATCTAACTTCTATTGACCAGTCACTAGCGGGGATTGCCGATAAAGGTTGGAATATTCAGTTTATATGACCCAAAAACATACGAGTATTTCCATGCGCAATAAAATATGAGGTGTTTGGAAAACTAATTGAACAGTTACAAACCTGTTGGTCTTAATCCTTTCTTTTGGTAATTACGGACAATAAACGAATCTCCCTCTCCCTCTGAGGAAGGTAGAAAGATTATAGAGTCTTGTCCAGGGGTCCTGCGAAGAGGGTGTATAGTACGTGATGGACAGGGTGATGGCGGGCCTGGGCGTGGCAATTCTTCAATACCCATGTTTCTCGTGGCATTATTATCAGCACTAGTCTTTGGGAGAAGGCTGTACGTTAGTGATGACATTGGTGCTTTGTCAGTGTCCATTCCAAAAGCAGACACATCATACGATTCCCTTAAATAATCAGGAACTCGAGGCTTGGGTCGAGGCTTGAAAAGATCGGGGAAATTCCTGTAAATGCAAACTAGGGATGAGTCATATATGTGAATATGGTCATGACCTGATCACTGATTTCCATTTCACTAAATTATTCTTTTGACTATTATCCTTTTCTCATTAACGATAGAGAAGGTGCACTAATATTGTCGAGATATAAACAATCTTATGCTCAAGGGGAATATTTTAACAGTGGATAGATATCAGCACTGAATACATTTCAGCTCGCAAACAAAGACACAGTGAACGCAAATAATCTCCTGTGCTCTTATACACTCAACAAAATTACTCTGATTCTGATTGGACAAGAGTAATACAATTGAATCGTTGATTGTACTCTGTAGAGTGCCAATTGAGTTGCTCAATTTCGTTGAGCGTATTATAAACAAAAAATCGGGCGATCTTCTCGTACAATTCAGAATTGATAGATAGACACTCGTACCTATAAAACCCGAATTGTACTGGAGATTTCCTATGCTAATTGTCATTACCCTGAAGTGGTTCGCCGTGAAGCTCCTCGAGAAAACTCAACATCTATCAAGAAAAGCAATATTCAGTGAGAAAACGGTAAATGACGGCTCGTGCCGGCTTTTTGTGAAACTCTCCTTTTGCGAGTCTTTATTCATTCTTGAAAGTAAACTGAACGTGTCTGATAACTACTGGATAGTATACACTTGTTGACTTGTTTTATGCAAAAAGTGGAAGAAGGAAACGTTTAAAATATAGCTACGATGTAAAGTGTGCTTTGATTGGCTGCCTATTTATAAAAAGGGGAAAAAAAGAAAAGATAAGAGAGAAAACTGGAAATGAAATGAAATGAAATGTGGAAAGGGAAGAAAATGGGAAGTAAAATGAAATGAAATCCTATTGAGAACCCGACGTCGTTGATACCTGGTTTGTTTAGTGGTTCTCGGATAACAACTTGTGGTTGTTGTTGTCTTGTCTGTGCTACTCGTCTGCTGGCCCAGCTTCTCCAGTGCAAGGCACACTTATACACGTACTGATGGAGACTGCGCGCCTGCTCAATATGACGCACTTGGGAATAACGACTCCTTTCTGAGATCAGATCAAAGGCTACCTAAAAGATATAATTGAATTACGGTTAACATGTTTGGATCTATATAGTATACGTGCTGATTAATTCACTGAGAGCAAATGAATGAACATCTTGATTCCCATGGGTGAAATATACTGGTGAGCAAACAAAATTCTACAACCCTTTTCCGAGAGATCGTAATCAAACTGCATTTGGTAACACACTGGTTACACAWCGTTTCATTCAGTTMTTTACAAGTAGCTAAAAAGAATCACCAATTTAAAATAAGAACATAAATTTTGCTCTCCAGTACAGACACGTGACCGCTAACTGCAAAGGGCGTATTACAGCACGCGTACCAATCATTGTCACGTGCACCGCGGTGTCCATGTGTTTTTCTCTTGGAAAGATTTAACAAAGTTTTCTAATGGCAAAAATTACGAGTTTTAATATTTAAAAATATTTTGTAATTTAGCTTAAATACAAGCAGGGCCAACACCTTCCACTATCTCCGATCGACTCAATAAGTGTTTGTGTTGCGGTTATCATTTCATGTAAAATGCAAGAAATATTGTCGTGATATGTGACTCATTTCTGACAATGGAAGACCGAATATTAGAAAAATTTCTCGCATACTAAAATACTTATCAGTAAAATCAGCAGAAACACTTATTCATTCACTTATGACCTCCAGACTGGACTTCTGCAACTCATTGCTATTTGGCGCTCTACTTCAACAAATAAGCAACTCCAGAACTCAACAGCAAGACGATACAAGAACATATAACTTCGGTTACCTGTCTAGTTCAGAATACAAGATAATCTTGCTAACATTCAAATGTTTAAGCAACTCTGCTCCTGACTACCTCCAAGATCTCATCCAGCAATACATACCACCTTGCAAGTTTAGGTCTGGCTCAAAGAACTCATTTATCAACTAGAGAACGATACCACCTCAAAGCTGTGGTTTCAAAGCATTCTCAAACGCAACCCACTCTATGGAACAACCTACCTACCTGACGAATTGAGAGACACAACAACAACGATGGGATTGCTTACATTTTTATACAGCAGGCATCCAAAGCTTTTTCCCCCATACTTTTGTTAATTGTGTTGTGTTTTGTCGTTTATTTGTAATTGTTTGTAATTTTGAGCATCGATAATTTGAGAATGCCGGGCAAGACTCAAAGTGACATCAAGCTTTGTTAGACTAATCAGCGGTTGCTCTTATTAATTTACGACAAGCACAGACAAATCGTGTGTTGATTACCTTTATCCATTGAGTGACACCTGTCTTGACCAGTCTTGTTCGTCTCAACTGTAACGCCTGGGCTATACGCTCGTCTTTTTGCTTTTTGGAAATGGCGTACATTATCCACCCATGAAAAGCCTGAAATAAGTATTAATAGCTTCTTAATGTATGTACACTTAGTTAATTTAGTTTCTAATGTTAATAATAATTGGATTTGCAAAAAAGGACGAATTATTTACAATAAATCACTAAGGTTGTTTTACAGGGAACATGATCTCAAGCCGAAGCAAAGGAATCCGCATTTTCTACAAACAAACAAACAAGCAAACAAACCAAAAGATGCATTGGATACATTCATTCAGAAGATAAATCATTCTGGTTCCAGCACCTAGAACTGAGACTGTTTTAAAGCAAACCACTCCCTGGATTCCCTCTGCAGTACATTCAACATTCAGTACACAACCCTTTACGAATTATTTCGGCTTTTTTCATGCAGTCGCTGATTCAAGATTTAATGTCAAACACAAGATTTGCGATTTGGGAGACAGACTTAACCAATGAACGACTGACAACGAATGACCAATAAACAACCAAATGATTTACTAACCTTTCTCTGTAGATTAGCACTCCAGTGCCATAATGATAGTGACGTTTTTCTTTTTGTTTCGAGTGAGGCTGCAAACTATAACATTACCAACTCTAAGTTTTTTACTCATTATATTTGGTAACATTTACCCGCTAGCCAGTTGGAGGGAGACCCCCTTCCCTTTCACATTTTCTGCACGACGCAGTCGCGACCTCGTTAATATTCTTCGAGTGCGAATCCTCTGAATTAATTTACTGGCTTTACTGTATATCTGGCGGGCTGTAAAACACACTCCCAATTTGTCACACATTTAAGCTGATACCATGTAAGCGATATTTTTTCATACTATACTAGTTTTGGGTTCTCGGTAATTAACTAATCAGAACGCACGTTATCTTGCAACTATGCAGTTAATATAAAGACCTGTTGTTTCCATCTTCTCAGGAAAGCAGAGGTAATCCTGTGATTGTGCAGCCACATTGATTGTCGACAAAGGATCTAAAGAAAGACGAGCCAGAAAAAATGTAGAACTACATGAATCATATTGTCCCTCTTATCCAATACCTGATTCACCAAGCGCTTTTGATTATGACATATACAAAGGGTGCTACATAAATCATATTGTCCCTCTTATCCAATACCTGATTCACCCAGCGCCTTTGATTATGACATATAGAAAGGGTGCTATATGAATCATATTATCCCTCTTATCCAATACCTGATTCACCAAGCGCCTTTGATTATGAC